ACCGGGAGCCATCCACTTCACGGGACCAATGTTGCTCATCGTGGTTCCGGCGGTGGTCTTCACCCGGCTCAGGCCAAAGTCAGTGATGACAGCTCGGAAGCCGGACTTGAACGACCCTCCGACCAGCACATTCCGCGCTGCGATGTCTAGAGGTGCGAGGGAGGGTTAGCCCAAACAAGACCCCCCCCAAGAGGAGGACCAATACCTCGGTGGATCACGTTCTCCCTGTGCAGATGGAGGATGCCCAGCGACGCATCGGCCGCCAGCTTCACCAGCAGCTCCAGAGGAATGGCGGGAGCCCCGTCGTTCTGGGCGTCACCGCCAAGACGCTCGCCGGCACGGGGAGAGGCCATCTTCCGCCGGTACCGCTGGTAGAACTCGTGAATGGAGCCCATCTTGTGGAACTCGGCCACCAGCCACATGCAGTGGCCAGTCGTCACCGCGCCGAAGAAGGTGACGATGTTGGGGTGGTGCCCCAGTTCTCTGATGACCAGCCATGCAAACGGCGTCCGGTGAGTCGCATGCGACAAGAGCACCCGCGGGTGCAGTCAATAGCGGGGTGGGCGCGTACTGCATGAGGGAGGCCTCCTTGCGGAACTCTTGTTTGGCTTTGATGTCCACAGTCGGCACGCTGAGCTGCTTCACGGCACACTCCACGCCGCGCCACCGACCTCGGTACACCACGCTGAATGCACCTGCACGCGCGCCAAACACCCCAACACACGCACAGACACACACACACAGTCATAACCAAGCTACATGGACCAACGGACAGCAGCTCGCTCACACAACAACGTGCACGGCCGTTTGGCTGCAACACCGGGCGGGGCTGAGGAAGGGAGGAAGGCACGAACCGTAGGAAAGGGGCTCCTTCTCGTTGAGTTCTATCTCGTCGCGGGACAGCTCTCGGTAGGAGTAGACTTGGCTTCCGTCTACGCTGGCGGGGGGTCGCAGGTGCTCTGATCTCGATTGGTTGTCCGTTTCCGAGTGATCCAGAAACGCCGAGTAGTTACCTTCTCCTTCCTCTTCTTCTGATTCGCCTTCTTCTCCATAGTCGGTGTCTTCATCTTCATCAGTAAGATGATGATTCGAATTTGGCGTCGTCGGCGTCTTGGCGAGTGAGTGGATGTTTCGTTGTTTGGTGATGAACCACCAGGCACCGAAGAGGGGTGCAAACACCACGAGGGAGAGCAACAGCTGGAGATGTGAATTGGAGTGCCATGTGAGCCCCCACGCCTTGGCCAGGGCGCGCAAAATGAGAAGGCCGATGGTGACCAGGGCGGCTTCGAAGATACCTGCCGTCCACATCATGATGATGGCCCAGAGATTATGATGAATAAAGATTGAGAGAATGAGCTCTCATCTGGGTGGGGTGGTTTTTGTTTTTGGGTGCTGTGCGCTGGTGGATTTTGTTATTTTTTGTATTTTGGGGGGTGGGTTGGTGTTAGCATGAACAAGCGAAGGGAGAGGGGAAATAGACAGAGGTTGCAGTTGATCGCGACAGTCCCGCGCGGGCGCTTAGTGGGCAGCGGCCTGGGGGGCGGCGGCCTTCTGGGCCTTGAGGGCAGCCTCCTGCTCCTTCCGCTTCCTCTCGGCGTCGTGCTTCTGCGAGGCATCGTGGAGCTCCTTGACCAGCTCGTCGGTCTCGCCGTCGATCTTGGAGAGGATGTTGTCGTACTTGGCCTTGATCTTGGCGGCATCCTCGGGGAACTCCTTGAGCTCGTGGTCGCGGGCGTAGGGGATGGCCACGTTCTTGGTGTACTCGGCGAACACCCTGAAGGACTTCTCGTTGAGCTCGAAGTCGCCTTCCTTGAGCTCGGGGTACGAGGGGTCGTTGAAGGCGTCGAGGGTCAGCTCACGCTTGCCCGACACCTTGGCGCCGCTGGCGTCCTTGCCGTCCTTCTTGGCGGCGGAGCCACCACCGAGATCGGCGGCGAGCTTCTGGGCCTTCTGGACCACCTCCTCGATGTCTCCCACCATGTAGAAAGCGGGCTCCGGCAGGTGATCGTACTTGCCCTCGAGGATCGACTTGAAGCCCGAGATGGTGTCCTTGAGCGAGACGAACTTGCCCTCGAAACCGGTGAAGACCTGGGCGACCTGGAAGGGCTGCGACAGGAACTTCTGGATCTTACGGGCACGGTAGACGGTGGCCTTGTCCTCCTCCGACAGCTCGTCCATTCCGAGAATGGCAATGATGTCCTGCAGCGACTTGTAGTCCTGGAGGGTCTTCTGCACGGCACGGGCGACGTCGTAGTGCTCCTTACCGACGATCTCGGCATCCATCATTCGCGAGGTCGAATCGAGAGGGTCCACGGCGGGGTAGATACCTTTGAATCAAACATGGAGGTATCACAGAGAGAAGAAAGGGGGGGGAGGAGAGAGAGAGAGATGAGATCCATGCATAGTTTGAAGGTTCCCTAAGTGAGGGAGGGGGGGATCGCATACCCAGCTCAGCAATCTGACGGGAGAGCACAGTGGTGGCGTCCAAGTGGGCGAAGGTGGTGGCGGGGGCGGGATCCGTAAGATCGTCAGCGGGCACGTAGATGGCCTGCACGGAGGTGATGGAGCCCTTCATGGTGGTGGTGATACGCTCCTGGAGCTGACCCATGTCGGTGGCCAGGGTGGGCTGGTAGCCGACAGCGGACGGGATACGACCCAGAAGGGCAGACACCTCGGAACCGGCCTGGGTGAAGCGGAAAATGTTGTCGATGAAGAGAAGCACGTCCTGGCCCTCCTCGTCACGGAAGTATTCGGCGACGGCCAGACCAGTCAGGGCCACACGAGCGCGGGCACCCGGGGGCTCGTTCATCTGACCGTACACGAGCGCGGCCTTGGAGCCCTCGCCGATGTGGTCACCCTCCTTCAGGGTCTTGGGGTCCTTCAGCTTGATCACCTCGGACGTGATCATCTCGTGGTACAGATCGTTACCTGAGTTACATGTAATCAAGGAAATGCACACGAATTAGTCTCGGTCAAGTTTGCATGAGCGTTTTTTTGATTGGGGTATATATGAAGAAAGAGATAGATAGGCGCGGAAACATACCCTCACGAGTACGCTCACCGACACCAGCGAACACGGAGAAACCACCGTGGGCCTTGGCGATGTTGTTAATGAGCTCCATGATAAGCACAGTCTTGCCGACACCAGCACCGCCGAAAAGACCGATCTTACCACCCTTGGCGTAGGGGGCGAGCAGATCGACGACCTTGATACCGGTCACGAGGATCTGATCGGAGGCACCCTGCTCAGTGAGCGTGGGAGGGGCAGCGTGGATGGGGTTCCTCTTGTTCGAGTAGATGGGACCCTTCTCGTCGATGGGGTCACCGATCACGTTGATGATGCGGCCAAGAGTGGCGGCGCCGACTGGGGAATGCACGAGAGTACAAAAATTGTACGGTAAGTACTCACTCCGACGGTCGGTCAATGGTTGGTTGGGATGAGCAGTAGCCCCAGCAGGTCGGATAATTTCACATGGAGGGCAAAAGGTGGCGGGCGGGATCCAGACGTACCGGGCACGGTGATGGGACCCTTCAGGTCCTTGACCCTCTGGCCACGCTGGAGACCCTCAGTGGCATCCATGGCAATGGTACGGCACACACCGCGACCAAGGTGCTGGGCAACCTCAAGGATGAGCTTGATGTTGTGGTCCTGAATCTCGAGAGCGCTGAGAATGGGCGGGAGGGCATCCTCGGGGAACTTGACGTCGACGACGGCACCGATGATCTGCACGATCTTGCCGTCGGTATCCACGGCCTGGGACTCGGCCTCGGCCTTGCTGGCGGTCTTGGGCTCGGGCTGGGTGGCCAGAGTCCTGCTGCCTGCGGATTGCAAAAATGAGAACGCATACTCGTTAGAAAAACGCAAAATTTCTGTGAGGAGGTACAAAATGAGAGCGCTCATTTTGCTTTCTCTCACCACGGTATTTAATAGATAGCGGCGGTCTCGTACCCCACATGGCATACTTGGCAGGAGCCGACGAGGTAGCGAGGGTCGTGTTGGCGCCCTGCCTGAGCCCGGCAGCGGTGCGGGTAGCGAGACCCCGAGAAAGGGCAGTGCGGGGGAGAGCCCTCTTGCTGAAGTTTCTCAACATCTTTATACCTGGAGGCGCGCGTCACATAATAAACATTGAGTAAGGATCTTCTTCTCAACGACAACGGGCAATTATATTGACAACGGAGCCGGGGGGAATAGAAACTAAGATCTTCCGATGCAAAAGTGCGGCGGCGGTAGACGACACTAAACAAATTGAAGAAGATTGGGGGTGACTTTCTACCTGCTGCGGGAGTGTGTGGTGGTGGCGCACAGCTGCTAGCAAAACCGGACTGACGCCCAGAGAAGCGCAAAGGAAGACGAGGCCCCAAGCCCCCATTGGCTGGCAAGACGCTCGCAAATTTCAGCGCCCCGCCCTTTGACGCTGGGATATTTCCCCCTTCGGAACTATTTTCTGCTACCAAACGTGCACGATCGAAGCGCGAAAGCTGCACACCCCGAGACGGGGCAAACTCTCGACAAATCAACCGAAAGGAAAAAAGAATTGCTTGCCCCCAAGAGATCGCTCGCCCCCTCCCTACATCGCCAATTCTTTTCGAAACAAACATGCGTCGCATCTCTGCCTCCTCGCGAGTTCTTGGTATGTCGGCCGCCGCTGGCGGGCGTTTCGCCCCCCGCACCGCCTCGGTGCTGACCACTACTACTCGCCGCTCCTACGCGACCGATGACGCGCAAAGGGAGGCGCACGAGAAGGCCGTGAAGGAGGGCAAGCTCATCTTCACGCTTGCGTGCCCCCACGAGACCCTCATTAATGCTGAGCCCGTCAGGATCGCCACGGTGCCCTCGGCCACCGGCGACATGGGTATTCTCGCCCACCATGTGCCCACCATCGCCCAGCTCAAGCCCGGCGTGGTGAAGGTGACCAAGTTCGACGAGTCGGGCGCCACCAGGGACGCCGACTACTTCATCAGCGGCGGCTTCGTGACCGTCTACCCCGATTCTCACTGCAACGTCAACGTCGTCGAGGCCTTCCCGCTCGACCAGCTCGACCCCGAGAAGGCCAAGAAGGGTCTCGAAGATTTTACCAAGGAGCTTGCTTCGGCCAGCGACGCTGAGGCCAAGACCGTGGCCACGATCGGCGTTGAGGTGTACAAGGCCATGTGCTCTGCGCTCAAGGTGTAAAACACCCCCCCCCCTCGCCAGAGACCCACCCGCTTCCCCTTCTCTTTCAGTAATTACACACGATTCTCACATCATCTGTGCCGCTTTATTTCTCTCTTCTTCCCTACCCCCTTGATTGGCTTGGGAGAGATTTACATTTTCATTCTTTTGGGGGTGCTGTCTTTGTTCTCGGCGATTTTCACGAACCGGCCGAGAACAAAAGCAATCCTTCTTTTTGGTGCGTGCACACGCAAGAGAAGCGCGAAAACAAACAGAACCAGCCGCAAATGCTGCGCGGATTCACCGAGGACGATGATTTCATGACCTGGGTGGACCCCCAAGAGCAGCTGCACCAGGAAGGGGAGGATGTCCACACATCTGCCCTCACCGTCCACCAGAAAATCTCCAATCTCGCCAATCGCTGGCTTCATTCTCGAGGCTGCTCCCTCTTCTATGTGGGCATGATCCTGCTCAACCTCTTCCTCATCGGTTGGGTCATCATTGCTCGCGGCTACCCCACCCATTGGTTCTTCGTCACGCTCGAGGTTTTCATCAACGTGGCGCTCGTCTCTGAGGTTGTCTTCAAGCTCGTCGCCCAGAAGCAACGCTTCTTCGCCTCCAAGTCCAACTGGTGCGTGTCTACACACCTTGCCCTCCTCCTCCCGCCCTGAAGGCGCCCTTCTTAGGCCTTCGACGTCTTGCCTCTTACGTCGCTTGTGGTGTGTGCGTGTGCGTGTCCGGTGGTGAATGTGCGTGTGCGTGCGCGCGCGCGCGCGCCTCTGGGTGGCCATCAGGTTTGATCTCGTGGTGACTGTGCTTTGCGTGGTGTCGCTCGGGGTGTACTTTGGCGGACCGTCGACGATGGAAGAGATCAACGACGCAGTGGCCATCTTCCTCCTGATCTTCCGCTATGGCATGCAGTTCCTCCGTCTCGTGCTCTTCGTGAAGAACAACCAACAGAAGCTCGTGTCGTCCGCCAACGTCATTCTCCTCGACGGTGACGATGACGACGATAGCGCACGCTTGGCGGTCGATCATCGCCCATCCTCGCTCGTGACCACCGACGACGCACACGCCCAGTCTCTCATCTACAACGACAGCGACGATGAAGACGACGGCAGCAGGGACATCAACGCCGACTACAACATGCGCACCGTCAAGCTGCGGTTTGATCCTCTCACCAAACAGTAGGCGCTCTCTCCCACGACCGATGTCCTCGCAGTCGAGCAAGCTGGCGAACCACGAGCCACAGCCTCGACTGTGCCTCTTCCTCTGCACGAAAGGGCTTCGCTGCACCCCCCTCCCCCCCAATTCCTCCTCCTTCTAGCGACCATCACTACCGCTGTTGTACAATCGTTCCAGCTGTCTTTCACACTATCATCTCCACCCTCTCCGGCCTGTTCGCCAAGAACTAGGCAAGAAGTAGAAGAGAAAGAGGCTGAACGGTCTCTCTATTTGTATGCCTGGAGGCAGCTTCCAGCTTAGTCCCACGTCTCATGGTCGTCGTACTCGCTGTTGATGAGCGAGCTCTGCTCGGCAGCGGTGGGTCGCTCGCCGGCGTAGCGGATCTTGCCGCCGCTCTTCTTCTGGCGCCACTTGGCCGACCCGCTGGGCGTGGCCTTCGGCGCGGTGGTGGCAGATGCGGCGGAGGTGTCCCCCTTGTGCGCGGTCTTGAGGTGCGGGAAGAAGGCCAACGTGAGAACGAGGGCCACGACGAGCATCGAGGCCGTGATCAGGAACACCAGCCCTCCGCCCACGTACTGGAGCACGTAGGCGGAAAACAGCGGTCCTGCGAGGAGAGAGAGAGAGAGAAGAGGGAGAGCCATGCACCATCACGCACGCTGAAAGTTAAACCTTTGCGACACACACACACACACACCACACAACGACCGGAAACGTACCCGCAACTCGGGCGAGAGAGCCAGATGCGCTGAGCCATCCCATCATCACTCCCTGCTCGACGTTCTCTAGCAGCTTGGAGAAGATGGAGATCACGACGGCGCAGGCCGAAGAGAAGCCGACGCTCGCAAGGCCGACACCGATGATGAACCTGGGCAGCTCGACCTAAAAATAAATAAGCAATAATACAAAAAAATGTGAGATGCAAGCCCTGGCCCACCAGGTTTGAAGGGGTCATGCGCGCGTACGTATTCATCGAACGGCCACTGGATGAGGAGCCCAAAGCCACCGGCCATGAGCACTTCGGTGACCAGCAGGAGGGTGCGGTCCTGGAAGAGCATGGCGCCGACTTGAAGGATCACCAGCGAAACGATGCAGCCGCCGCCTATGCCGGCGAACATGAAGCCGTTGGTCGTCACGCTCCACCCGTAGGCGTGCTGGGTGTAGGGGGTGCCTGCCGGACGGACGCGTTGGGGCCAGGTTAGGTTGGACGCGGGACGGGTTACCCCACGGCGATAATGGAAGCGAAGGAGCGGAGAGAGAGGTGAGGTACCGATGGTCTCGAAGACGGTGAAGGCGTTGTAAAAGGCGAACTGGAGGTAGAGGACCACGATGACAGTCCAGATGGGCAGGCCGGGCTGGGCCAGCGTCTTCAGCGAACGCACGGAGGCGTCTGGAGGCAGCGGGTGGGGGGGAGGGGAAAAATGAGCGAGGGTGTGTGCGGTGTGTGCGGTGTCGTGTGCGTGTGTGTGATATATGAATGGACAATATAGATACCGGAGGGTTTGACGTAAGGATTGGTCTCGGTGGCGATGTGGGCCTGGGAGAGGGAGCTGGGGTCGAGCGCTCCCTTGGCGGGGAAGACGCCCTCTCCGGCCTGCAACAAGGACGGGCTGATGAGATGAGAGTCCACGGGGGTATATACACTAAACGAGTCCATGGCGAACGTCTGGCCTCCTTCCTCCATCACCTCCTCGTCCTGGCCATCCTCCTGAATATGATACATAACCTCCGCTCTCCCTCCTCTCCTTCTATCCAGCTCGGGCGCCAGCACGAGGAGGTGTTCATCCTCGGCAATCGGGTTTAGGTATGGATGATTTAGGGCGTCGCTCCCCTCCTGCTCGCTCTTCTTCCCGCTGTCGTCGGTTTCGGGTGTTACCTTGCGCGGTCGAATGTTCTTCACCGTCGGCACGAATATCAGGCAGAACAGGGCCAGCAGCACCGACGCCCAGCCCGGGTAGGTCAAATCGTTCCCCTTGAACACCGACACCTCGAAGGCCGGCAACGCGGACAGTCCCGTCGCCATCGCTATGTGTGCGCACGCACACGCACACGCACAAAGGTGGGAGGTCAGTGCACCACCAAAGCACCAAGCCGGTGTGGTGGCTGGGGCCGCAACGCACCAGGGCCAAGAATGAAGCCCAGAATGGAGGCTGCGCTGTTGGCGATCATCACCGTCGTTCGGTCGTTGGGGTGAGTCGCATAGGTCAGGTACGCCGAAGCCGGCGCGTAGTTGGCTTTGAGACGAACGGAGACGAAGTGGGTAAAAGAGAAGAGGAGCGTGGTGGTGGTGGTGGTGGTGGTGGGTTGAGAGAAGTCAGCACACCGTGAGGCAAAGTAGTACGCCACACCTCAGGCCAACCGGTCGAGAGGGGAAAAGGTTGGGCGCCACGTACCGGCAGCGCAGCCAACGATGAAGCGAGAAGCCAGCAGCATCCACACGTCCTGAGACAGGGCATACATGATGTTGCCGCCGATCATGACGATGAGGGAAATGAAGAGGGCCTCCTTCACGCCTCGCCAGTCGGTCCACTTGCCCAAGATCGGAGAGGCGAGGAAGGTGCCACCGCTGTTCACCGCCACGGCCCAGCCGGTCCACGACTGATTCACTCCAAACTGGGGAGAGAAACAACACCAATCCACGCAGCAGCACACCGTAAGTGTCTCAAAAAAAAAAAAAAAAAAGGCTGGGCTGTTGAGGTCGTCCGTGGTGGAGCAGCATGCTAATGGAGAAAGAAAAATCGAGGTCCTTCAACAGACGGGGGTGGCGTATACGCATACCGATTTGAGGAAGGGCCATAGAGAAGGAAGAACGATGGCGAAGCAAACGAAGGACAGGAAATTGATGAAAATCATCAACGCGATGTCCTTCTTTCCGGCACTTTCGAGCACTTCGCCAGACTCCTGCCTCTCCTCATCGCCGGAGAGGTGATCATCATCTTGAATCGAGGGCGAAGCGCTGGCCAGCAGGCCCTCGTCTTCGTCCCGAAAATGAACTCGCGATTTGGATGACATGAAGCTCTCTCTCTCTCTGCAGGTGGCCACAGGAGAGTACACCTACGCGGTATTACAAGAGCGAGAAAGAGAAACCTGAAACCTTCGAAGAAGAGCTCTCGCGGCCGGTCGTATTGTGTGGGGTTTGCCGTGCGTCGCACTCTGGCGTCGTTCGCGGCGCTCGTCTCTGCTCTTTCCGACCCCAATTCCAAGCAATAAAGCTTTTAGGCCCATTTTTCGGGTGGTTTTGCCACTTTCCATTCGCACCATTGGCCGAATCGGCCGTGCGGGTTTGCTCTCTCGGACCCAAAAAGGCCACGAGCTGGCTTGTTGGTGGTGTGGTGGATGTTGTTGTTTTTACAATGCGCAAGGGATAGAGACCCCCTTTGTACGCCACTGTGAAACTGCTGCCGCGGCTTCTGTTTCTGAGGGGAGAGCCAGAGCAGGCGCGGCGGAGTAAGGAGTCGAAGCAAAATGACGCCGGCGTCGATTCTTCGTGGGAGGAGCGGGGTGTGCTGAGAGGGTGGCGCGCGATGTTGAGTAGTGAGGCGAGAGAAGAGCGAGAGGCCGAAGGCGGAGGTGGGCACACGGGATGCCGGCATTCCTTATATACTACAGATCTTCTTGGACGGCTTTTTGGCGGGCTCCTGGTCGAGGTTGAGTGTAGGCCCTCCTGATGGCCGCGCCGATGATGAACTCGTCATGCCGTCCTTCCTAAAAGGCCCACACGCAAGTCCGGGCGGGGAGAGACGCATGTTAGGCGCGGTTGAGGAGCAGATCTGCTGCGCGAGAGGCAAAAATGGCCGGGAAGGGGAGGCAAACGAAACGGCAAACCTCGCTTGATCGCAAGCAAGCAAGCAACGAACCTCTTCTTCATCTGCTCTGCTAGCCTCAAAAATGCCTCTTCGACGTTGACGCCTTCCTTTGCCGATGTCTCAAAGTAGTCGACGCCCAGGTCGTTCTTGGCGTAGGCCTGCACCAACAAGCCAAACAAAGAAAAATGTGTCAAGCCACCAGCACCAACACAAAGGTGACTGTGCGGAGGGATATGTGTGTGTCTCGAAAGGAGGGTGAATGGGGGTGGGAGCCATGCGGCGACGTACTTGCGCCTCTTCGGGCTTGACCTCTCGTTGGACCAGATCCGACTGCCGAGGACCACGTTTAGTTTAAACTTGCTAGAGGAAAATTTTTTTATTTATAATTATTTTATTTAATAATTAATTTTGTAAAGAAGCATAAAACCAAGAATGAGGGAGAACGACTCTTACCTTATTGCCTACGAGGATCTTGAGAGCTGAGTCATTGGCATAGCGTTCGATTTCGCCCACCCAATTGGCAATGTTTTGGTACGAGCCGGCACTGGCGACGTCGAAAACGATGATGATTCCATGAGCGCCTCGATAATAGCTGCTTGTAAGGAAGCCCATCCTCTCGAGGCCCGCTGTGTCCCACACGTTCAATTTGACCCTCTTTCCATCAACCACTACTGTTTTGGGTTTCTGCATTTTAGCCCCGCCCCCGAATCAAGATTTTAGGTGCAAGCAATTAATCAAGTTGTGCCTTGGGGGGGGGGGGCTCTGCTGAGTGCACTTACCGCATCCACACCCATGGTGGCAGGGGCGTTGTCTTCGAATTTATCTTCCTGTCATTGAGAGAAATAAATAAATAAAAATAATTGTTTATAAAACAACAATCGCGCGAGAATGAATTTCGTCCACTCGTTGCGCAAGAGAGGGATATTGGGACGAACCGTGAATCTGGCCAGCATGGCGGACTTGCCCACGCCGTGGTCGCCCACAAGTAGCGTCTTGAATACGTAATCACTGCATATAATAATAATAATAATAATGAATAATGAATATACTTGACACAGCCCATTCGCCCCCTGCAAAGAGCAAAGAGTGATGAGTCTATCTATCGGATTGCCGTACAACTCGGGGTTCAAACTGCTGCCCGCCATGGCGGTCTTGTGTGGCGCGCTGAGATAAACACTTGGAGAGGCTGGCCTTTATCGCCCCGTCGCGGTCGTGGTCGTCTTCGATCTTCGATGATGTTCAATGATCTCTCGCACCCGGTCAGTTATTTCTTCTCTCCTCTCTTACGTCGGCATTAAATTATTTCAGCGCGGAGCAAGAAGAAAAAAGAATAAAAGATGTTTATTGTAAAAAGAGAGTGACAGCCACCATGAAGAAAGGCGCAATGCGACACTTTGCCCTGGGCGGCTCCGCTCCGACGAGACCGGGGCTCCTTGTATGCCGCGTCCCATCAGGTGCAGCCTCCTTCCCTCCTTGCGGACTGAAGGGGTGGACTCACCAGTGCCGTTGATTTTGTGTCTTGTGTCCCCCCCCCCAAGATCTTCGGCCTGGTGCAGCTGCCCCGCTTACAAGTGGCTCTCTTCGAGTGCGGCCGCCCTTCTGGCACGGGCCGAGACATATGCACACGCCCCTGCTGGGCGTGCTGCCGGCACAGGCGACCATCGGGGGGCGTCGCCACGAGCACTGGGGAACGCTCAAGCGTTTCAAGGAGCTGGCAAAGACTCCCGAGGAGCTTGCGCTGTACAGTTCCCCTCCCTGTGGTCGCACGTGGTAGCTTGCAAGCGTGGTGCTCTGTTGTCGCAAGTGCGTGCGTGTGTGCGTGTGCGTCGCATCTGGCCTCATTAGGCGCCTCGCAGGAAGGAAGAGCTGGATAAGGGCTACTGGGGAGATGCCAACGAGCTGCTGAAGAACAGGGAAGGCAAGTTCTTCTTCGCTGTGCCCAAGCTTACCCCAAAGAAGGAAGCGAGCAAGTTGCTGGACGCCATACCGGCTTCGCTGCCCACCTACAAACCCTTCGACTTCTCTAAAGTTAACATCGAAGAGGTGCGCAAACGAACGCCTCGCCACGCTCGCGCTCGCGCTCTTCCTCTTCCGCAGCGCGTGTCCTGACCGCGCGCGCACGCCAACAGGCGATGCACACGAAAGCGCCCACACTCGTTCTAGTGACATGCAAGCGTATGTTCGCTACGGCCATGCTGGACTCTTGGCGCAAGCCCTTCGAAGCCGAGTTCCCGCACTTGAACTGCTACGAGGTACCACACACACACACACACACTCTCTCTCCACCATCACCATCCTGGTACACGTTGTACCGGTACGACTAAACATGGTGACGCTAACCACCCATGGATGTGCGTGTACACACATTATGGGAACAACCTTCAGCTGGAATTGGTTCAGCAAGTTGGATACTGGTGGTTTGGTGGACTCTTCCGCATGTTCGCGGCCAAAGAAATCGAGCCGTCGAGGTACTTCACCAGTCTAGTGTCCAAATGCCTTTTTGCGCCCATCATCTGTGTTCCTCACACTCATACTCCTCCCGTTGCGTACAGAATGAACAAGGTTCTCTACTACAATGGGATACGCAAAACGAAGCGTATGCGGTGGGATCTCAACATCAAGAACAGGTAAGCGGTCTTGTTGCAAGTGCTGCGTGTGCTTCGTGCAACTTCCGTTTCAAAGCGACCCAAGTAGTCCTGATGCTAACGCGCTCCCTACCGATTAGATACTGCGCTTATGCGTTCCTGTGTGACGAAGACGGGCTGGTGCGATGGCGGGCGGTAGGGTTGGCCAACACCGAAGAGCTGGCTATGCTCAACAAGATGGTGAACAAGCTGCAGCAGGAGAAGGGCGTGAGCAGCAGTAACAACTTAGCCAGCAGGTCTGGTCTGGAGCACCAGCAGAAGGCGGACTGAAGCTATCATCAGCACGACGAGGCACCAACGGTGCGCACCACTCGTTACCCCCCCCACCAATAATCTGACAATAACAGATACGCCGGGGTGCTTTTTTTTAATCTTTTTTTAATCTTTTTTATTTTTTTTCGCTTTTTTATTTTTTATTATTTTTGCTTATCATTTTGACCTGTGAGAAAACTCAAAAAGGAAAGTGGCGGGAACGGACACCAAGGAGAAGACGGCCAAGAGTAGAGCCCCTACCTACCAAGCGACCCGGGTTGTCGATGCTTGTGGTGGATCCACCCCCCTACCACCGAGGAGAGAATCTAGAGAGAAAGGAGAGATATAAATCTTACTTATGTCCCGCATGAATGACGAGGAGAAGAAGGCCAGGGGGCCAGTTACGAGGTATCGCAGCCTCTCGACCATCTCCGCCCCCAAGGATCGTCGCCACCTGGAGGGATCGCTCTCGGAGCGTGCGCTCGGCTCGCCCCCAGAACTCATCTCTCTGTCCCGGACGGCTCCGCTCGGTCGACCGGAAGGCCACAGGCGACCTCGACAACAATCCCACACCGCGGCCAACGATGAGGATCGAGGAAGAGACCAAGATAATCGCCCCCTTGTTGGAGACGTCGGGATGGAGGACGACGAGGAGGAGGACGACGACGAAGGGGTAGACTGGACCCGTCAAGCAGAGTTCGGCCCCTCCTTCGGGCGCGACGTCACAGAAATGGTGTTGGAGATGGAGGCCCTCATCAACAATGCCCTCGGTGGGCGTGCCGCTGCGGCGCCGTGTGCAGCAACCGAGAGGACCACGGCGACGGTCGTCGAGCAGCTCTTGGGTCCACGTGGACAGGTCGACCGCGGTCTCTTGGACCTCGGCGTCGAGGGCCTGATGGTCGAGAGCGGCGAGAGGCTCAGTCTCGAGCTTCTGCTGGGAGGAAGCGACGACGATGGCGGCGGCAGCAGTGGCAGCGACAGCATGCTCCTTGCGGACAATTGCCAGCGAGGCGAAGGAGACGAGCAGCAGCAAGAGCTCGAGGCGCAGGCCAGCATGCGAAGGCGCCTGGCGGCAGAGTTCGAAGAGGAGAGGCGAAGGGAGAAGGAGCGTAACCGACGAGGAGCCTCATCAGACCAGCCCCACCGCACCGGGAGCGACTTGCGACGCGCCAGTTCCACCGCGAGCGGGAGTGGTGCCGACAAGCGGCCAAAGCGCGATCGAGACCGAGACCGAGACGCGAGAGGAGGCAGCACTTCCTCCGCCAGGGACAAGGAACGAGAGCGAGAGCGAGATCGAGAGCGGGACAGAGAGCGCGATCGCGAGCGCGAGAGGAGCAGAGAGAAGGGAGAGGGCCACAGCAGCCGTGACCGAGAGAGGGACAGCAAAGAAGGCGGCGGCAGCGGCAGCGGCAGCAGGGAGAGGGACAGGGAGAAGGACAGAGAGAGGGACCGAGACAGCTACCGGGAGCGAGACCGACAGCGGGACAGGGAGCGATCGTTCACTCGCGAGCGAGACCATGGCCGAGACCGCGGAGACCGGGGCGGGGAGTTTCACTCTCGCGAGCGAGACCGAGAACGCGACTCCTACACCAGCAATCCAAGGGCCGAGCGCGACAGCTACCGGGTGGAGCGTGACGGATATTCGCGAGATCGAGACTACGCCGGTGGCGGTGGTGGCGGCAGCGGCGGCAGGGGGCCTCTAGGCGGCTCCTACCGAGCAGGGGATCGCGATTCCTACCGCGAGAGAGACCGCGACAAGGACCGGGAACCCGAGGGCGGTGGGCGAGACCGCGACAGCATCATCCT